TTTTTTTGTGTATGTTTGTGTTACAAATGCATCATATTACTTATTGTTTAATTATAAAAATTAATAAAATTTTCTTTAAAAAAAATGTATCTTACTTAAGATACTATTTCAGCTATCTGGACATGCTGTTATCTAAATATGAGTCCAAAATATGGGGGTCTTAATCAACTATCAGGGATCAGCAATTGGAAATACAGAAGACAGCCATCTCTAGTATGGAATTATCCAGATAACTGGCAGAATAACATTCTTCAATTCTTTATCTATTTATCCTGCTTTCATTCAAATAATTCAAGGTGACAGATATACCTAACATTCCTTCCCTCTCCTATTTTCCCCACAACAACAACCCTATGAGGTGGATTGGGCTGAGAGTGAGCTGTCCAAAGTAATCCAACCAGCTTTCATGCCTAAGGCAGGACTAGAACTTACAGTTACCTAGTTAAAGATACATATTAGAGAAAAGTAAATGATAGAACACCTTTGTTAATATATTTAAATGCAGTCATGATTATTTTGTTGCAGAAAAGGTAGACATGTGACAAAATTGTTCTGTATTGAATCCAGAGAAGAACAGGAAACAGCTCTGTGCTTACCATCTTTTCTTCCTTGGCAGGTGGACTGCGTAGAAATATGCACAGGGGAGCAAAGAGGATATCAATAATTCCTATAATTGTCATGAGCCATGAAAATCCAATTGACTTTGCAATAGCACCACCAACAGATGGACCTTTGGAAATACAAATATAAATACAAACACAAAGCTGAGCACTATCAATAAGAAAAAATAAGACATGATCTAAAACATTGGGCCATGTCTAGCCCTAAGTCAAAGATTAGGCAAGTAGCCAATTCAAGCTGCCTGACTGGTCTCAATTAGCTCCTCCTACAAAAATGAGAAGGCAGTTACCAATGTTTCTATTTAATTGGTGTTATGTACAAACCTGGATGACAGATTTCATCTATCATGCCGCAAACTGAAGTCAGGCTTGTTTGGGAATGCCAAGAGATCCCAGTTGGCATATAAAGATAAACAAGCCTTAGAATGATTCCAGAGTTTAGCCACTCTGAACAGAAACAGGAAATGAATGACAATGCGCACCAACACATTTGCTCCTAAAGTGTATTGATATGCAGAATATTGTGAAAGCATAATTCAATATTTAAAATGTGAGGATTATACTGAATGTACTGAAATGCTTAGTATAATGTCCTTGCTTCATTACCATAGTTCTCATAATTTCAAGAAATTACGCATGAAAAGGAGAAACCAGCTTGTTCTCGCCCTAACCCATTTATTTTTGCTATCAGGCTATTTTTTATTTTATTTTTTGTAGCTGAAGTTCCCAGAGGCCCCGTCTTGACTTCAATGGAGGCCTTGGGACTTCTCTCAATGACTAAAAATAGATAGCATGGTTTCCTAGCATTCTGCAGTAGAAAAGACAAGAAGAAGAACGGCTTGGGTAAGCCCTAAAACAGGGGTCCTCAAACTTGGCCACTTTAAGACTTGTGGACATCAGTTCCCAGAATTCCCCAGCCAACCAAGCTTTAAGAATCTCTTCAGCTGAAAATGAAATAGCCTTCAATGGCAAACACACACACCCCAATCCTGGAGGATTTGTGGAAGTGTGTGTGTGTGTGGGATTAATACAAAATGGTGCAAAGATTAAATACAAAATGCAACAGTGTTTTAATGTTAAGTGCATTTCAAATAAACAGAATTAAGTCCTTACCTAAAGCAAAACCCATGCAAAATGCAACATCTGCAATTGCATAAACGCTCCCATAGACGGAAACATGGCGCAGATCAACAAGGTAACCCATAATAGGCATCAATGAAGAATCCACCATCCCTGATTATAACACAGAAAAAAGTATTTTAATCGGGCTCTCCATTTTCTCTCCAAATATCTACATAGAAAATGGTTGGAAATATTTCTGAAGGAAGTATGTGTCTGGATAGTGCCAGTTTTACTGAATTTACTTTTTAAACCAAGAGGCATTTCAACAGTAACAAGATCATATTCCTTTCAACACAGTGCAATCAAAATTTGAAATAGGTTGTGCTTTGTTTACCAGAGATGGAATAATGGCATCGCATTTTTTGTAAGATCTTAATAATAAATTTTGCTTCAACTGTCACATGTGCTTTATTATACATGTGTTTGCCCTTCTAAATTGGGATTACTTTTCACTAGCCCAGGTCTGTCTAGTCTATAGAAGTATCATACCACTCGTACAAACGTTGTTATTGTAGCAGGTCTGAAATTAATGGGTTATACAGTAATCAGTTGTGATATTTCAGATCTGAATTCAGAAAGGAAAACTTTTTAATAATAATCATGAATCCACCATCTAGCTTATTGTTCCAATATCAAAGTTCAAAATGTATATTTGAGCACTAAATATATAAGTTTAGATTTCATATAATTATGTGTCCTGCTATGCTGAAAATTTGAATGAAAATTTGTCTTAATACAAGTATATTATCTTCAACTGAATAATTTTACTCAGCATTTTAAATCAATGCCTACTAATGTATTCTACTAATGTGTGGTTTTATTATTGCTATAAACTGTCCTTAAATCTCCTTATAGATTTGGCTGGGCGGACAGATAGATACATCAAGCTAGTAGAAGAGATATTCAACTCTGCAGCTATTACAGCTGGATTGCTAGACCATTTTTCAATCCTTCTACCATGGTATATAAACACAGCATTTCAAGACAAGAACTGTCCTGCTGCTGATAAAGCCGGTGGTAATATAACGAACATTCACCTTCATCTGTAAAAATCTGTGTATGATAGACAAGGGCATCTTTCTGTGAAAGATTCATCAAAAATGTTTAGCCCTCTCTATGTTTATTGGCAAAATGTTCACAAAATATCTTCTGCTATCTTATGGGAGTGCGCAAAAAAGGGGAGCTTTTACTAAATTTAAAACTGATAAATTATTTGCTAGAATTATCCATGAGCTATTTTTGCTATAATTAAAGGATTATTAGAATATAATCAATCCAATGTTATTTACTGATGTCAAAATATTGAACATATTTTAAAGATTCTCTATATTCTACAGAATGACATATGTATATCTAATTATTGTACCATCGGTCATATCTGTTATGATACAATAAAATTGTTTAAGTTTCTTATTGGCAGCGTAGTCTACCAACATTGCAGGATAGGTTTTCTTATTTCTCTTATGTACTGATAGTCCCACTGACTGTACTTCTTTTATAGATTACAAAATATTTCCTTTTGAAAGGAAGCAACAGTAAAGCATTATCTTTTCCTACTGGGGACATTAATTAGCTCTATTGGCAATGTTTTTAATGTATATATTTTCAGAAACCACAACCAAGCCACAGGTTTCCGTGTATTACAGTGGCTAATGCATATTGCTGGCTACAATTTTTTTAGAAAGTGGGACTCAACTGTTACTAATTGTTGTTAGTAATGAAAATGGCATACGTTCTTTATGTTAAGAACATATTTCAAAAACATACATACATCTCTTGAATTCAGAGCCCATACAGGCAGGAGATCCAAATTATCAATTGATGCCACATGTTGCAGTTTAATTAAAATGTGAGATATAACGTAGTCTCTCTGAGATCATGTACCAATCCCATAAATTCAGGTGAGCTATTTTCCATTTTTCCATGCTTCTACCACCATCCAACCTAAACATAAGATGTATCTCATGTATCTCCCCTTCTTTCACAGAATTGTGCATATGAGTAGTCTGGATGCATCTCTACAAAGGAAACTAATATCCCCTTTCAAATTCATTGAAGGTAATGGTGATAGAAATCAGGATCTACAGTATATAACTTATACTGCTCTACTGATAGTTATGTAAAAGTGAAGCTTCTATGTAACACATGAAATAACAGAATGCAGCACTGTATTTTCTCTAAACCAGTGTTTCTAAACATTGGGCCACTTGAAGCTGTGTGGAGTTCAACTCCCAGAATTCCCCAGCCAGCCATGCTGATTGGGGAATTTTGAGAACTGAAGTCCTCACAGCTTCAAGCAGCCACTGCTCTAAACTAAATGTTCAGCCACTTTTTTTCCTTACCAATGGCAAAGCCAACTCCAAAATTTGGTACTATAAGTCCATATATGTTTTTAGCAAATGGTACCTGGAAGTAAAAGAAACAAAATGAAATATCAAAGTGTTGATATTAGAGGTGTTTTTCATTAGATGAGCAGACAATTTCTATCAGCTTGAGGGCTATGCTAGTTTTGCATGGCACATGCCTCTTAACATTTCCAGCCGCAACTTTTTGGCACCACCTACTTGGTAGAGCCCCAAAAAGCAAGCCGGTGAGACCAACTTCCCAGACCCCTGCATTAAATTTATTAAGATTAAGTATACACCTATGTTTGATATAAGATTCAAATAGTATGTGGATGTTTTAGTTTTAAAGATGGTGTACAGATTTTAGTGACACCAGTTACATAGCTTTCAGCTATGAGATTTGGAGCATGAATAAATGGAATTTATTAATAGAATTCAAGTCTATCTGATTGTGTTTATATATGAGAAAGCAACATCATTATAAAAATTGGTAGCATTACATTAAAAGATAGGGCAATACTAAAGCTCAGAAAAATGCAAACTAAAAATGTTAATGAAGGCAAGATTTCTAAGTGTTGCTGACACAAATTAAAAGAATAATAGAATCAAGAAGGTATAGCTCATTTTTTATAATTATTTTTCTCTTGAATGAGGGCAAGAAAATGAATTGGCTGCATTTTGAGATGTAAAAGAATATTTCACTGGAAATGCTGTAATCATTTGTTTGCCCAGATAAAAAGATACAGTAATGAATATTACATGCAAATAGCAGTATTTATATATTTTAAAGATTATATATTTAAATTGGTTTACAACCAGGAATGTGCATTTTAAAAACCTGCAGTAGGAAAATATACACAGAAAAGATAAGTGCTAGAGGATCTACGCTGAAAAAATATTGGACAATTTATTCAAGTGCATAATTGTTATGTATATTAGGGAAAAATATTCCAGTTTGTTGTAAAAAACCCATGAAAATAATTTTTAAGCCACAATTTTTACAGCTTATAAAATGTGTGAACTAAGCTGCTACAGTTTGTTCAATAATACATGATTAAAACAAATCAAAGTTGAAAGTAAAAAGCTAAATTAAACTCAAATTTTCAAGCAGCCCCCCACCCAATTTTAATGAGCTACAGGTAGTCTTCAACTTACAACAGTTCATTTAGTGACTGTCTGAAGTTACAATGGCATTGAAAAAAGTGACATCATTATTTTTCACATTTATGAAATGTTTCAGTATCCCCGTGGTCACATGATTAAAATTCAGCTGCTCGGCAACTGACTCATATTTATAATGGTTGCAGAGTCCGGGGTCATGTGATCACTTTTTGTGACCTTCTGGCAAGCAAAGTCAAGGGGGAAGCCAGATTCACTTAAGAACTGTGTTACTAAGTGAACAATTGCAGTGATTCACTTAACAACTGTGGCAAGAAAGGTCATAAAAGGAGACAAAACTCCCTTAACAATTGTCTCACTTAGAACGGAATGGCTCAGTTGTGGTCATAAGTCAAGGACTACCTGAATTTAGATCTGACTAAATGCAGGATGTTGCTTCCTACTTCACTGTTTCACACAACAAAAGAACAAAGCAGAACAAAATTAGATTTTTTGCAGTAACAACTTTTACTCACACACAAAACGCTTATTCCCACTATTATCATCCCAATTAGGGCACAAAGCCACCTATGAAAGGAGAAATATTATCTTTTAGCCATCCAGAAACACAGACACCAAATATATTTTCCTGAAGTAATACATAGTAGCTAACAGCACTATATGACTTTAAAATAAAATTGCTTATTATTATGAATGCACCAGAATGCCTTCATTAATAATTAAGAAACACCAAACGTTTAGAAAATGTGGTCCATGAATTCAGTGTTTAAACTTAGCCTACCTTCCCATTTTGTGTGCAAGGCCCCCAAAAAGATTTGTTCCAATCAGATAAGAGATACTGGCTGGAATGAAAGCAACGCCTGAAAAATATGAACGAGTGTCTTATCAACATTGCTTTCAGTGAAGCAAAGGAAAAACTAATACCTTCAGACACAGCCAATTTTATTAGAACATATCTAATGAAGGTCCACGGTCTGAACCAAATAAAATAAAATACCCTTTAATATCCGGGTTACTTCAAGTCTTTTATAATCTCAAACAAGACAATCTATCAGATTTAAACTATAATTATATTTTCAAAAGTGTTCTCATAAATTCGTGGTCCTGTGTAGGTGAAGGAGTACTGTATATGCAGCGGTAGAACAAAGAAATAAGACATATTAATAAGTGTCAATAAATTTCGTTAAAAGGTGAATTAAACTGAAAAGTAACAAATAATTTACTAATAACTGATTTTTCCCCCCTAGAATTAGATCACAAATTACTCTACAATATTTAGAAATCCAGGTTTATAAAACACAAAATAATTTATGGAGAATATGGATATCAGTCCATTGTTGCTATATAATGTACTGAATACTTGTTGTATTGATCACATCCTACTTGTAGGATTTCCTATTCATTCATTATAAACAGAATACTGGACTTGATAGGCTTTTGGTCTGAATCAGCAGGCTTTTCTTTAGTAACTCTATTAAATCAGGCCACGGTTTGTTTTATTAAACAGGTACTTTTAGGGATGCATCCAGACACCTTATCCCTCTCCTTTTCTTGTGGCCCTGTAACTGACATTGGTATTCCCCTATTTAGAGGTAACGTGTATGTTCAATGCTTGATAGATCTGCCTCCATGAATGTATCCATCCTCCTTTTAAAGCCATGCAAGTTAGTGACTGTCACTTTGTCTTACGGTAACAAATCCCACATGTTAACTGTGCATTCTGTTCAAAGGTAATTTCTTATGCCCATTCTAAATCTCATTCCAATCAGCTGGGCCCTGGTCCTAATATTTTGAGAAAGGGGGAAAAATTAATGATTGTTCTCTTTCTACATGGTATGCATGATACCATGGCTCCAGGGAATTATTAACGCTTCTTTGCAGGAGGGTGTCTTCCCGGCGGCCCTAAAGGAGGCCATGGTGAGGCCCCTCCT